CAGAGTGGCAGGACAGTAATTTAAACCAGGCAGTGGCTTCAGATTATGCTTTTGACTATAGCACTGTGTGTGCAGGGCCACAAGCAACTTCTCAATATTTTAAAAAATTTTTTATTAATTTTTTATTGAATGTGTTTTTCATAGAGAAAATCATCTTTATACCCCCTTCTCCTTTGGCACCCTCCCATAGCTTCCCCACTGGAGTTTATACATTCTATCACTTGTGTTAAGGCCTATCATGTAACACTAGTGTGCCCGATTTGTTTTGTGTGTAGGAGTGTTTTTCTTGCATGTATGTAAATTCACCCATGTCGTGCAGTGCCTATGGAGGTCAGAAAAGTACGATGGATCACCTGGTACTGGAGTTTGACAATTGTTAGCCACCATGTGGGTACTGGGAACTGAACCCGGGTCCTCTGCAAGAGCAGTCAGTACTCTTTAACAGCTAAACCATCTCTCCAGCCCCCCTTCTCAATATTTGAAATAAGAGGATATATCTGTAAATAATAAAAAATCATTAATCTGAGCTTGAGAGATGGCTCAGCAGTTGAAAGTATTGGCTTCTCTTCCAGAGGACCCTGGTTCAGTTCCTGGCATCCACATGATGACTAACAACCACCTATAACTCCAGTTTCAGAGGGTCCAGTGCCCTTTTCTGTCTTCCACAGACATTACGTGCATGTGGTGCACTGATACACATGCAGGCAAAAAACTCACACATAAAATAAAAGCAAATAACTTTTTAAAAAATCATTATAAATCAATATGTATAGCTTAAAAGACTCTTCCAAGCGTTCATCTTACATAAATTTTAAAGATTTATTTTTTTTTTTTAATCATGTGTATATATGGTGTTTCTAAGAGCCACATGAATACAGGTGTCCATGAAGGCCAGAAGAGGGTGTCGGATCCCCTGGAGCTGAATTACAGGCATTGTGAACTATCTCACGTGGGTGCTAGGAGTTAAACTCAGGTCTTCTGGAAGAGCAGCAAGTATTCTTAACCACTGAGCCATGGCTCCAGCCATCACCTTATATAATTTTTTTTTTTTTTTTTGGCCTTTTTGAGACAGGATCTCCCTGTAGCCCTAGCTGTCCTGGTACTCACTGTGTAGACCATGCTGGCCTTGAACTCACAGAGATCCGTCTGCCTCTGCCTCCCGAGTGCTGGGATTAAAGGTGTGCGCCACCATGCCTGTCCTTATATAATTTTTAACAGGTATTAATATGTCTAAATTCATATCTTTTTGCTTCCCATAGTAAAAAGAAAAAGAACAAAGATAAGAAGAGAAAAAGAGAAGAAGATGAAGAAACCCAACTTGATATTGTTGGTGAGCCACCTTAGTCCTTTATTTTATGAAAAGTTAACATTTGTTGATATCCCAATTAAAATTCTTTACTCACCCCAGGTGTGGTGGCACCACCTTTAATTCCAGCACTCGGGAGGCAGAGGCAGGCGGATTTCTGAGTTTGAGGCCAGCCTGGTCTACATAGTGAGTTTCAGAACAGCTGGGGCTACAAAGAGACCCTATCTCAAAAAAACCAAAAAAAAAAAAAAAAAAGGCTTTACTCATTAGGATTTTATGGCCTATTTGTCTTAAAGTGCTCATATATCATGCAGATTTCTTTTATTCATGAACACACTAAATGTCACTGTTGCTTCTTCTTCATTATCAGATAATCGTGCAGTAGAAAAGAAATTCCTTAGTAGAAGCCAAAGATTCTTATCCATAATTTTAAAGGCCTATTATAAGAAAGTATTTATTTTCTTTGAAAATGCATGAATTTTGGTTGTGAAAGCCTACAATTTGTCTCCAAAGAAAGTACGATCATAGTAAAATATTTTGTGCAGTGAAATGAATAAAATTCCTCAACACAATAGAACAGCATATATAATGGTATTCGAAATAAACTCCCAAACACTTAGTATTTTGTCCTTTGTATACCTATACTTTAAATCAAATTTCTTGTCTTTTAAAACTCAGCAAGTTAAATTTTTAAGCTTTTATCAGTTCTTTGAAACTACATAAAAGTAAGCAGTGGCAGGCTGGAGAGACAAGTCAATAGGCAAAGGCACTTTCCACCAGGCCTGACAACGAGAGTTCCATTCATGGTCATATATGATAGAAGGAGAGAACTGGTTTCCACACGTCATGACATATCTACCCACATGCATATACACACAGTAGAATAAATGTAATAAAGGATTTAGAGAAAATAGACAGTGGCTGGAAGTTACGATGTGGGAAATCTCATATCATTTTGAAAGAGCATCTTAAAACAAAATTCTACAAGTAGAGTTCATTTTAAAATAAAATTCTACAATTAGTGTCAAGATTAAGAGTAGATACGTGGATTTGCTCTTCCTTAGGCTAGATGAGTATTTAATAGTATCAGAGTGTGCAAGCCGGACTTGGTAGTGCATGCCTTTAGTCCTAGCACTTGGGAGGCAGAGGCAGATGTATCTCTGAGTTCAAGGCCAGCCTGGTGCTACAGGGAGACCCTGTCTCAAACAACAGCAACAACAAATATTTATCTACATTTCCTTTTAAGAGATAGTGTCATTTATTTTAATATCTTACATTAATCATCCACTTCAAGTTCATTTCTGGCAGAGTGTGTGATGGGTATCAAAGGTTGGATTTCTCCCCTTTTTTTTGAGGCGGGGTCTCCCCATAGCTGAACTTCTAGAACTCACTATGTAGACCAGGCTGACCTTGAATTCACAGAGATCCACCTGACTTTGCCTCCAGAGTGCAAGGATTAAAAGTGTGCACCACCACTCCCAGCCCAGCCTCCTTTTGAGTAGACTTTCCTTTCTTCGTTAAGCTGCTTTCAAGGTTCGGGAGTATAGCTCATCAGTAAAGTATTTGTCTCACATACAGAAAGTTCTGTGTTCCCCCACCAGCATCCAAACAAATGAATGCTGCGTTGATACCTTTCTTTAAAATCAGTTTCGTTTCTGTGTGTTGGTCTGTTTGTTGACTCCTGTTCCACTTACACATTTTTCTATTGTCTTCCTCATTTTTTTAAAATTTTTAATAACTACATAATTAGAAGCATTTCACTACAGCTTTAACATATTCAGTAACACACTCCAGAGCAAGAGTACATCTCTTTCACAAATGGGTGCAAGTTTCGATGTTCACAGTTGAATTAATACAGTTATACAATATTGAACTCAGTATAAGCCCTGTAAGACATAAAATTGAATGAGTTTTTAATCTTTAAAAGAGATTTCCATTTGATTTTAGAATATATTGTTCTTGCAGAAAGACTCATTGTTTTTGCTACTAACACTGAGATGTTGGAACATGCATCTCTAATCTGTATGTATCTGATTGTTACTCATCATAATCAGTTGCACTTGGATCCTTGGCACCAGTGTAGGTCTGTAAAGTCATCAGATAGATTTCAGTGGCAATGTTTATCACCTCTACTAATTAACATGGTGTAAGTTTCCATGCTTCCTCCTCAAATATAATACATTTTTTTAATTTGTTGATTGTGTGTGTGTGTGTGTGTGTGTGTGTATCACACAGAACATCCCAAACCATCTTATTCAACTATACACCCACTTCCCAGAGGCACTCTTCTATAGCCTCCCTCCCCCGACTAGAGCCCTTATACTCTGATATCCCTGCTACTGTCTGCTGTGTTGTTGGCACCCCCAGCCAGTCCCCACTACTTGCCCTTCTGATGAATCTAGTCAGCCTATCTAGAGGTCTTTGTTTTAGGAGGGTCAGCTGTTCCTCATCTAGCAGCAATCAGTTGTCAATATTCCTTTAGATGAGATTGGGGTCTGCTGTTGGTTTTCCCAGTTCTATGCTGGGTTACTATCTGGGAGTCCTTTTGGCCACCCTGGCCAACAACTCAAAAGGAGGTATCTCCTATCTGGCATTGTTTCTTCTTACGTAGCGTTTAGCTATGCATATGGACTCTTAAAAAATTATATTGGCCCCTTTAATCTTTGGTTATACTTTCCTTTTGGGTGTTTAGGCCATACAATTAGCCCAGATAAACCAATTTATTTTTATTCTTAAGGTCATTTGAGGATCTCTTCCTCGGGGGTCACATGAGCTTGGGAGGAGCCCCTGGCTCCTTATTTTTACCAGTTGCGCCTATGTGAAAATAAGTCAAAGGTCCTGCTCAACCATGGTTGGCTTTGCTTGGAAGCATGGAGGAAATGATACCTCTGTGTTGACCCTCGTCTTTGTAGACTGGACACTGGATCAAGTCCATCTGGTGGGGTCTCCTTGGCCTCCTTGATCAAGAGGACAGGTGACCCATCACCATTACAGGACGTTTTGAGAGATGCTCATAGTCCCCTGGAACTAGTCGACCTAGGAGGGCAAGGAGCAAAAATTGTCCTTTATGTCCCTCTGACCAAATTATTATAGGCCTCAAAGTATGTCTGTTAAACATCCAAGAAGGTTAGTTCCATCAGTCTGGTACTTTTAATTACTGTGTGTCATGTAGATAAATCCTGGGCAAAGACCAATTGTTCTCAGATAAACCTTACCTAGACATGTATTTCTTGATCTGCTATGTATAATTTGTCAGGTTGTAGGAGTAGTATGGTTCCCTCTGGTTTTCAAAACTACCTAGGCATTATTTATCTCTCACTGTCTCACCCCTCCATCATGGTTTTCCCACTTAAGGTGCCCCCATTTCCCCCCTTTCTTCCTTAATAATACCCTTCACCTGTGGTCCTACCTCTCTTGAGCTCCTTCTTTCCTTTTATCCCCTAGGTTCCTTGTATACCCTTCCCTCCCCACTCCCTTAAACTAAGCCAATTTTTGTCCACATCTCCCTTATTAAGGCCTGTTTCCTATTGTTCTGTTTCAGGTTCTTTCTTTTCCTTTACCTCCCAGTTTTCTTCCCATTATCCTGGTTCCTGTAGTTATGTCTGGATACATTCTCACTTATCAGGGTTTGGTTCTAGGATCCACATATGGGGGAGAACATAGGTTGATTTTTTTTGCTGAGTCTGTGTTACTTCACTTAGAAGAGTTTCTAGTTCCATCCATTTACCTACAAGTTTTATGATTTCATCTTTCTTTACTGCTGAATAAAACTCCATCGTATAAATGAACCACATTTTCATTATCCACTTGTCGATTGAGGGACACTTAGGTTGCTTCCATCTCTTAGCTATTGTGAAAAAAGCAGCAACAAACATGGATGTACAAGTGTCTCTGCAATAGTATGAGTTCTTTGGGTATATGCCAAGGAGTGATATAACTGGGTCAAATGGTCAGTTCATTTGTAGTTTTTTAAGAGCTCTCCACATTGCTTTCCATAGGGGTTGAACAAGATTGCAACCCCACCAGCAGTGGATGAGTGTTCCCCTTTCCCCACATCCTCTCCCAACATTTAGTATCATCTGTTCTCTTGATCTTAGCCAGTCTGACTGGGGTAAGATGAAATCTTAAAATGTTTTTAATTTGCATTTCCTTAATTATTAGTGATATTGAACATCTTTTAAGATGCTTCATAGCCACCTTTACTTCTTTTTTTGAGAATTCACTTTTCAGCTCCTTAGCCCATCTTTTAATCGGGTTACTTCTTGTCTTGATTCTCTGTTTTTTGTGTTTGGTATATATTCTGGATATTAAACCTCTGTTAGTTGTGTCACTGGTGAAGAATTTCTTCCATTCTATGGGTTTTCTATTCAGTTCCCTGGTTGCTTCATTTGATGTACAGAAGCTTTTTAGTCTAATGAGGTCCCATTTGTTGATTCTTGACCTTGTTCCCTGGGCAGTTTATGTCCGGTTTAGAAAATCCTTTCCTACACCTATATCTTGTAGGTTTTTCCAAATGTTTTCTTCTAACAGTTTCAGAGTTTCAGGCTTTACATTGAGGTCTTTGATCCATTTGGAATTGACTTTTCTGCAGGGTAAAAGATAGGGGTTTAGTTTCATTCTTCTACAAGTGGAGATCCAGTTTTGCCAGCACCATTTGCTGAACATGCTGT